CGCTTGGTTATCAAAATCCATAATCAATTTCATCAAAAAAAAAAAAAAAATCGCTACTATACAAGTTATCCTTTATTCACATACATGTATTATACACACAGTAGTAAACAGTGCAAAACAAACAGTAAACAGGGCTAAACAAGCACATACATGCACACACGTACATGCACACGACGTTACACACACGCAGGCATTCAACACCCCGAGTAACCGATTGTAACCGATCATCGGTTACTTGGGTCCAACCGATGATCGATTACGAAATGACAACCGATTGACAACACTAGTTATGACAGCTCGGTCAGAACTACAATAATGAGAGGCAAGTCCCAATTAATTATGTAACACATCGTATGATCTCACACCAATAAAGACCAATGAAATTCAAAATTCAAGTAGACTGTGATGTGTTACCTGCTTCTGATGCTTGTTTCCATAGGACGTCAGATGCTTCAACGATTTTGGTCAGGTCATGAGCGAAACCAAGTTCTGAATTTTCTTCTGATATCTCTGCGCCAATCTGTTTTAGGTAACCACGTAGTTCCAGTGCCTAAAAAGTGACATCCTAATACTAAGTATCCAGGAAATATGATTTTGTTATGTACAGTAAGTTGTTACGTCACACTTAACATGTTCTGACTGTCACTTCAACTAATTATACACCTTCAGGCGCTGTGGAATATAATCTAACCTCACATCCGAGATCAGAGTAAGGGAGTGCAGAACAGCACTGCTACAGTTTATAATAAACCGTGTAAAGAGTAGTCTTCAGAGTCCAAGGGACTATATTGAAGAAAGGGAGGGATAACGACTTTATGTGATCAAATAGACAGATCAACACTGTCACTTACACTGTCACTGTGGACTGGGGTAGAAAAAGCTTCAATTTTGCAATTTACCAGAGAAAGAAAAAGAAATCCAATATGAGATGACAGAAATCAAGATGCTAAACTTATACTACTACTACTAGCATATGTATGTGTCATTTTCAACACCTACAGTGCAACACACGCCAACAGTGACTTAGCTCTAGTACTATAGCCCGCGTACAGTTGCCGCAGAGCAATAGAACATTCTATTACGAATGCTAGGGACCAACTTATTCACGGTTACTCGCGGCTATAAAACGTCTGTGGTAGGCAATTAATGCCTCTTAGCCAAAGTGAATATGTCTTGACTTAAGTTATATCAGCTACTAAAATTAAACCTCTAACTATCATTGAAATGGTCTGCTTGTGGTATTTCTTGTGAACGAACATTATTTACGAACTTCAAACGGCCATTTTTGGTGGCGCTGCAGCACCGCCAGTCAGCTGGTTGGTCCCTAGCTCCAAGAAACGGTCTTTGCTAGAGTTAGAAGACCGTTTCAAATTCTTGCCCATAAATACTTGTAGTTGGCTCGGTATCCAAACATCACCACAGCTGGCGTCACATGTAATAGCTCAAACAAATCTATAAACCTCTGGCTTGCTCGCAGTAACTGGGCGCTACTTATTTATCGAGTTATGCCGTATTTTCTGAGATGAATTGGATGAAAACAACCAGACAGCTGCCATGTCCGCCATGTTCGGTGCGACTAAAATCGGCAATGGACCTGATTTTCAGTGCGTAGGCCTAAACACAAGGCAAGTACATATCTTCGCAATGATAATTATTGTAGTTGTAGATTGATGTTTCCTGGTTTTCAATGTTTTAATATTTATATATACACGAGTATATGATGCCTATTTATGCTCGCGCCAACGCGAGTTGCAACGCTACGGTATGTTAAATGTTGTTTCGGGTTTTCCGCGTTCTGATCAAAATGCATGCGCAGTGGAAACATGAATGGTTGGCGGTTAAAGTGAAATTTAGGTTTGGCTCTTGAAATTTACACTGTGAACAGCGAACTGAGGTATTAGTTTTAATAACAACGCTGGAATACTATAAGGTGAAGGTTATACTTGATACAAAACAAGGCAAAAATGCTTAGATGATTATTTTATTTGAGATATATACGTAATTGTTCAGCAGTTTTTGTAGAGGTACAAGATTATCCAATGGATGGATGTCAGGCTGTGTATATTGACGTTAGTCACACCGCCTGGTCGGGCTAGTTGGTCCCTAGCATTCGTAATAGAATGTTCTATAGCCCTGCGGCAACTGTAGGCGGGCTAGCCTATAGTACTAAAGCTAGAAAGCCATAAATGGTAATACTGATATCATTAATGATTAATGTTACCGGGTTCTTCATTAACTTCTCTAGCTTCATACGCTGGATCTGTGTTGCAGTCTGGCTATCGTACTAGAGCTAACAGTGTCAGTGACTAGTCTAGACACAGGCACGTGGAGCGTTTTAATAAAATATAATATTAAATAAATACAAAATCTATTTACTACCAAAGTCTTAATGTTTCTATACTCTCTTTCGCCTATTATTGCCGACAATTTCCTGCAAATGTCGTCCAAATGCTCATCTCCAACAAACGCTGGCTGCCGCCATGGCTGCCGCTGCACACTGACACATAAATATATATGCTCATGTGCAGCAATTAGAACAAACGCTGGCTGCCGCCATGGCTGCCGCTGCACACTGACACATAAATATATAGCAGATATGAAAGCGTGCTGCCAAAATTCGCTCGATGCTCGCTTGATTTCACACAAATACAACACAAATATTTAACCATTCTGCTCCATCTTTGTTTCTATTTGAAGAACAGTGTTCACTTGTTATAAAAACATACTGTCTGTGTTCGTAACCGAGCTGTGTCACGCAAAATCACACAAAGCCTGACGAAATTTTCGCGTTCGCTCCCGTTGCGCAGTTTATGTAAATGGCTGCAAGTACAGGGCTATAGGCGGCGCACTGCATTTTGGGAAACTACCACGCTGCTTTCCAACTCCCGTATGAGCCTCGCCAGTTGAGCGTTGCAAAAACGTTGCAGCGCAAAAATGAGGTCACGAAGAGCGCCGGTGGGCGTTTCCTGATTCTGACAGCCATTTACATAAACTGCGCAACTGGAGCGAACGAGAGAATTTCGTCAGGCTTTGTGTGATTTCGCGTGACACAGCTCGGTTACGAACACAGACAGTATGTTTTTATAGCAAGTGAACACTGTCCTTCAAATAGAAACAAAGACGGAGTAGAATGGTTAAATATTTGTGTTGTACCGGTATTCGTGTGAAATCAAGCAAGCGTCGAGCGAATTTTGGCAGCACGCTTTCCTACCTGCTATATATTTATGTGTCAGTGTGCAGCGGCAGCGGCAGCCAACGTTGGTTGGAGATTAGCTCCAAGAAACGGTATCGCTAGGGTTAGGATACCGTTTCAAACCGTGGCTGCAGCTAAACACGTAGTTGCCTTATATTCCAAGTATCGCCAAAGAACACCACACATGTGATATACCAAATGAATCAGTTAACGTCCACCTTCTTGTAACCATCAGTGCGCTACGATGCGCTGGGTACTTACGGGGTTACAGCGACTTTTTGAGACGAATGCACCAGAATTTACGAATTCGCCGCCATGTTTGCTATCATTCCGACTGTGACTAAACTCCGCAATGGATCGAACAAAGGAAATTAAACGATCTGCGGTCGTCATGTAAACCACCCCTACATCCGAGAACATGTCATCTAAGGTTTTTTACAAATGGCCCAGACATTTCTGAACATCGTTTCACTTGCTTTGGTGTGTAATTGCCTTGAGAGCCATCGTACTATTTCTGTAGTATTTTCTAGCGAGTCTTTTCCGTTTCGGGTTTTCCGTGCCTTGCTAAACATGTCGGGTAAAACTGATTTGAAAGTTGATATGCTGTGAGAATTAGCAGATTATACCGTGAATTAAGAGATACATTCTAGTTTAGAAGCAGGACAACTGTGAGTTAACGTTCATATTTTAAACAAGGCAAGTCAAAGGTGGTAATGGAATAGTTTTATTTGAGATATACAGAGTTATTCATCTAGATCTGCTGAGGTGATAGGTTTTTTGTATGGAAGGGTGTCAGGCTGTATAGACAATCCGTCGCACAGCCTGGTCGGGCTAGTTGGAGATGAGCATTTGGACGGCATTTGCAGGAAATTGTCGGCAATAATAGGCGAAAGAGAGTATAGAAACATTAAGACTTTGGTAGTAAATAGATTTCGTATTTATTTAGCATTATATTTTATTAAAACGCTCCAAGTGCCTGTGAGTGTAGACTGTAGTCTGTACTCCTGTAGTACAGTGTGAGTCTAGACTGAGACTCTACTCTAGGAAACACGGTTCAAACACGACAGCTGTTGACACCGAGTTTTAATAGATGGCCGATTACGATCAAATAATTTTCACATACAAATAAATCCCATTCTATAAGATTAACATTACATGTGACTACCGTATATCATATTGTACCTGCTCAACCTCAGACAAGTCAATAAATCCAGCGACTCCGGGAGAAGTCATGTTTCATTTGGTCTTGCTGTTACCTCCTGTAACATTTCGTGTCGCGAATTTTCTACTAAAAGTTTTACACATAGGCAACTTATCGTTAACAACACATATCGTTATATTTTAAAATATGTTTTATATTATATTATTTTAATTTTTGAAGACAGTAAAATACATGAATTCATTATAATTTACAAAAAAACTTTACCTGCTGGGGGCTCAGGAATCAGGATCTACTCGTCGATGTTTAATTTATTGTTTTCGGGTTGCCTTCCTCGCAATTCCCGCTATTGCATTTTTGCTCATAACGTGCAAAACACGAATACTCATTAGAAATACATATGATTAGATTTACATATCACGCATGAGTTATTGGTCTAAAGTTATAAATGGAGACATAAAGTTGTATTTTTGGACGCTCCAGAGCCTCATCGCAACATCAGGACCATGGCAGCTTCGCAAGATGCAGGTGATGTAATCAGCTGGTTACCGGTCGTATCTTTGATATGATGTACTAGGTTTCATGACTGTAACAGTAACCATGTCAGAGTTAAAAACCCCGATCGGTGCTGAATTGTTAATTGGTCGTAGCAGTATCAGGAGTAAGATAATATAGGATATCCTATATTATCTTACTCCTGCTAGTACCGGGGTATCAGTATTGCGTGTCTAGCACATGACATGATGGTAAACATCATCATAAACGTCGTAAATTAACTGATTCTGTATTAGCTGGTGGAGAATGAGGAAGGGGAGAAGCTGGTGGAGAAGGGAGAAGCTGGTGCAGGAGGAAGGGGAGAAGGGAGAAGGTGGTGGAGGAGGGGGAGAAGCTGGTGCATGGAGAAGGAGGAGGGGGAGAAGCTGGTGGAGAAGGAGGAAGGGGAGAAGGAGGGGGAGAATGGAGCTGGTGGAGGAGGAGGGGGAGAAGGGAGAAACTGGTGGAGAATGAGGAGGAGGAGGGGGAGAAGGGAGAAACTGGTGGAGAATGAGGAGGAGGAGAAGGGAGAAACTGGTGGAGAAGGAGGAGGGGGAGAAGCTGGTGCAGAATGAGGAAGGGGAGAATGGAGCTGGTGAAGGAGGAGGGGGAGAAGGGAGAAGCTGGCAGAGAAGGAGGAGGGGGAGAAGCTGGTGCAGAGGGAGGAAGGGGAGAATGGAGATGGTGAAGGAGGAGGGGGAGAAGGGAGAAGCTGGCAGAGAAGGAGGAGGGGGAGAAGCTGGTGCAGAATGAGGAAGGGGAGAATGGAGCTGGTGAAGGAGGAGGGGGAGAAGGGAGAAGCTGGCAGAGAAGGAGGAGGGGGAAAAGCTGGTGGAGAATGAGGAAGGGGAGAAGGGAGAAGCTGGTGGAGAAGGAGGAGTTAGGGGAGAAAGGAGAAGCTGCATGGTGGAGAAGGAGGAGGGGGAGAAGCTGGTGGAGAAGGAGGACGACCAGAACTACGAGAGTGCTGACGATGTTCCACTGATATGGCCGAAACACCGATAGACCACGTATAGCGCCATCTGGCGGTGGCGTTTGCAAGTTAATTTACGACGCTAAACCTGATGTTTACCTGTCGCCTACGCCTACTCCCTAACCCTAAACCCTAACCCTAACCATATCACTCAGATAGTTACCTCGGGTACATATTTGTACTACCCTATACGACAACGACCCTTCGTGCATGATACATCATGAGTACATGTACTTACTACATGTGCTGAGCGAGTGCATAGGTATGCACATTAGCACCGCGGATCTCACGGATCCAATTTAGTATTACATATTGGGTTACGTTATTGCATGTAATGACAGTAATGTGGTCAGTGATGATCGAGTGTATATACGCGTAACACGGCATATGTTCTTGGAATTAAATTGAGAGATTCAATTCCAGGTAAGGTGCGCCGTATGCAGCCACACTGGGCACCGCCAACTGGAACACAGGTGCCAAGGCTGAAGCTTTACAATAGTCTGACACGACAGAAGGAGGTGTTCATTCCACAGTGTGGGAACAAGGTTGCCTGGTACAGTTGCGGACCAACAGTATACGATGCCTCTCATATGGGCCATGCGAGGTGATTACTCGATCAAGTAATTATGCCAATGGTGAAAATTAAGTGTAGCATTTAGCATTATATATTCAGACTATTTATATATATATATATATATATGGGAAATTGTTCAATTGTTCTATTTTTTGTTCAGTTCATTTTGAGTTTTGCCACAAAGACGTACGTACCTGTTGAGCATGTGTGAATGTTGTTAGCTTATCTTACGAGCATAGTTTTCCATTCTGTTTTTAGGTCTTACATTTCTTTCGACATTCTGCGCCGAGTCCTTCATGATTACTTCAACTATGACGTTCTCTACGTTATGAACATCACTGACATTGATGATAAGGTATACCGAGTGATGTTGATGTTTTTCATTGTAGATCGAAGAACTTAAACATAATAACCAACATATACATGATAACAGCATAGAATATTATATTCTACTAATCTCGACTATTGTTTTTTCACTTTTCAAACTTATTACTCACGCTTGGAATGATATAAGTGCAAGTATGTAAGATGTTAGCTTGTGAATTAAGTCTGCGATGTGAACAACTGAATAACAGTTGTCAATCTTCATGCTGTTATAGATCATTAAACGAGCACGGCAGAGCCACCTACTGGAGAGTTATGCAAGTAATGGAAAATCCCACTCCGAACTGCTTCAGGATGTAGCACAGGCTATGCAGGTAAGAACATATCAGAATAGCATCTGCTATTACGACGCCAACTATATAGTAATTGATGTATTCCTTAGCTAAGCTGATCAAGATATCACACACAGCCATTTATTCAAATCCATGCTGTTAGCATTTTAAAGCCAGCAGCCTGATGTTCGAAGTTGGCGGCTGAAAATTTACATGAGCAGTTATTAGTAATTAACTCACCGTACTTCTACAAGCAAGTGAGAGTGAGGCTATGGGAATGGATCGGTGTTTACGTGCACTGTTAATGTTTTGTGAAGGTTTTCTACACCATACATTTAACGCAGGTGTTTACCAAGAAGATGGAGACGGAGGAGGATGCGGACAAGCGGACGATGCAGCAAAGCATCGCTGAGAAGGTGAAGCAGGTGGTGTGTGAACTGAACGTGGCCATAGAGGAAGGGCGACCAGAGGATGCCATCCAGGCAACGAGAAAGGTACGCATGTCGGCTGCCTCCATGCGTCTGTGGATGCATCGCACAGTCTATATAGCTTTCTAATGTCTGCTTACCTCTGGCTGTATCTCAACTTCTCTCTATTATAATTATATGGCTAGAGTTGCCCCAGTAGATTGCTCTACCTGGAATCGGTTTTACGCTTGTTGTCATGACAATGTACATTGGAACGATGACAAACTTCCTCGTTGCCAGCTCTGCTGATGATTTGACTTTTGGGCCAGCCAGTATGGCAGGCTTCCAATGTATTTTCCAACAATGCTCTATCCATTTATTAAGTGTATAGGTCAGTGTTCGTAATGCGTCGATGATGTTGCTTGCAGCGGTTACTGGAGGTGGCGTGTGATCCGCTGGGTGAGTGGCTGGATGCCGCTCTCAGCGCCACCGTCACCGACAACTCCATCTTCAACAAGCTGCCGCGCTTCTGGGAGGGAGAGTTCCACAAGGACATGACTGCCCTCAACGTGAGTTCTTGCAGCAACTAAAGAAAAACTTACATGAACAGAATGTAGTTTTTATGATAAATGGGTAAGAAAATAGGCAAGAGAAAATGGCTTCAAGGTCCATTAGCCCTCCTTTGTCTAATACTTATTTACCATTCTGTTGTAATTTAATGTTACGGCATTTGGCGCGATTAGATATTTTTGAACATGAACCTGTGGTTGGCACTCGGCGTGGCGCCCATCTTTCGTTCTCCGCTGCAGGTGCTTCCAGCCGACTGTCTCACCAGAGTTAGTGAGTACTGTCCTGAGATTGTCGAGTATGTACAGAAGATAATCGACAACGGTTTCGCATACGAGTCAAACGGGTCGGTGTACTTCACCACAGGTAAGCATCATAAGTTCTAGTCTTAGCAAAGCTCTTCTAGCAGCATTAGGTGATAGCTGGTGGGGAAGAACTGATTCCCATTTGGTTTATGGTCTATAGAATTCATTGGTCAATTTAAATTAGTGGCTGTGTATGTGTATGCTTTAAAATTGACACAGAGTATTGCTATTTTCCAATGCAGATATGTTTGACAGAAGCAGTGGGCACTCCTATGCAAAGCTTGTGCCAGAAGCATACGGAGATAGCAAAGAATTGCTGGGAGGAGAAGGTAGATTCTTGACTCGTATACCATGGAGATGTGTGTACGGTCATGATAGCCATGTTGCATGCGACACATAGTACCTTAACGCTGATAGTGTGCAAATAAATTATATGAAAATATCGTAGGCTGCAAAACATTGTATGGATTAGATGGACGTGGTTTGCCTTTCTGTTTCTCTTTGTGTCCTGTTTGACTCTAGCTGCGTTCTCATTATGCCAACAACCTATGACCCGGTTGGCAGAAATCTGTTAGCTAATTGGCTAAATGTGTTGGTCGGTGTTTTTACAAATTTCGTCGAAGATTTGTCGGAGGAGATTTGGCACCCAGGCGCAGACCAATATTGCGCTTATCTTGATAGATATATTGAACACGAAATTTATTGTGTGCCTGTTGTGTTAATGCAGTTAGTGTGTGTCATGCGTGAGTCAAGTCTCGAGATGCATGTCCCGTTTTTTTAGGCGATCTCTGCATAACGGAGGACAGGCTGAGCGAAAAGCGATCACCGAACGACTTCGCACTGTGGAAGGCTTCAAAGCCTGGAGAACCGGCTTGGGATTCTCCATGGGGCAAGGTTGGTTTATGTGGTCTCTCTCTCTCTCTCTCCCTCTTCCCCCCTCTCTCTCTCTCTTTCTGTCTCTCTCTCTCTCTCTCTCTCTCTCTCTCTATATATATATATATATATATATATATATATATATATATATCTGCATCTCTCTCGTATCTCTTCCCCTCTCTCATCCTCCCTTTCAGTACGTATATGAGTGTGACATGGAGCTCCACTTGCCCTCATGGCCACTAGATGGCGTCATGGTCATCATCGTCTGCTCATTCTCCGTGTAGGGTCGACCAGGTTGGCACATCGAGTGTTCTGTTATGGCAAGCAGCATCTGTGGAGAGTCCATTGACATTCACACGGGCGGTTTCGATCTCAAGTTCCCTCACCACGACAACGAGTTGGCACAGGCTGAGGTAAACGCTGAACTTGTTAATTTGCATGACTTGACGAGGACTGAGGTATCTTACATGGTAGTGGTGGTTGTGATAGTAGTAGTAGTATATTACATCTTAGTAACTAGTGGGGTGACTATTGAGTGCAATATCACCTTTGCGATAGTATTGCTATAGTCTTACAATAGTTGAAATCCTATTGCCGATACTATTGCAGTAATTAAAAAACAATTGCAATACAATTGATGTATTATGAAATTGTGTATTCTGTTGTATTTTACATACATAGTTTGGTATTTACATTGCCTTCTTCTTTGTCAGTTCTTAGATGTGTGGCTATTGTAGATGATTTATGTAATCAACCACGAGTATGTATGCTGTAGTTTGTTCCGACTGTTGCTTAGTCAATCCTCTTGCGTTTCTTTGCTGAAAGGCGTACTTTGGCAATGACCATTGGGTGCGCTACTTCCTGCACACGGGTCATCTAACCATAGCTGGGTGTAAGATGTCAAAGTCGTTAAAGAATTTCATTACCATCAAGGAAGCACTGCGTAGGTACTTCAGGTGACAGACGCATTCCAATACTGCGGCATATTGCATATTGTGTGTGTGTGAGTGTGTGTAATTATAATATTGTAAATATAATATATTATATTATATTACACATATTTATTTACATTATAAATATAATATATTATATTATATTACACATATTTATCTACATTATAAATATAATATATTATATTATATTACACATAATTATTTACCTTTAAATATTACGTTTCCTGTAAGCGTCCACATTAAGCTTCGGATATTTTTTCCCGCAGAGAAAACCACGTTTAATTGGGAAAGCTTCTTGCAGCGGCCATGTTTATCACCAGCTATTCAATTCCACAGAGCAGTACAGCGCGCGGCAGCTGCGGCTTGCCTTCCTGCTTCACTCGTGGAAGGACACGCTAGATTACAGCTCAAACACGATGGAGCTTGCCATACAGTATGAGCGATCGGTGAATGTGAGTAGCAGCGACTATAAAATACGGACTAAACACGTAATTCCCGCGATCGCGACCACGTCTTTGCATCGAGAAGTTCTAAAGACGATCCTTGGCGATCAAGTGCTGCAATGTCGCTTCAGGTTGCACGTGTGAAACACATACAGGGGTAGAAATTAACTTTTGAACAAAGGAGTCTAACGGATCGACTCCCTGCCCTCAAAAAGAGGGAGTCCGCAGCAAAATGAGGGAGTCTGAAGTTCAAAATTAAAGATATTACAATAATGCATGTGCTTATTTTGAAGATTCATGCGGTTGCACATCTGCCAATTTTTTTTTATAGTATGGCAGAATTTTCAGGGAGTTACACGGACTCCTGCATATGTCAAATCAGGGAGTCCGACAGTAAATCAGGGAGTATTTGACTCCGGACTCCTCCTCCAATTTCACACCCTGACATATATAAACTAGCCTAGTTGGCTTAACCGCTAGCAACGATATCCAATGGGAGCATGCAGAGTTGATATATAATGGGGGTGGGGGCCTATACCTCGCGCAGAGAGATGGCTCAGTCTGTGACGTGTTTTCAGGAGTTCTTCCTGACGGTGAAGGACATCGTGCGGTCGACGCCCAGCAGCGGCGTCGAGGCGTTCAGCAAGTGGAACGACGCGGAGAAGGACCTCGATGCAAAGTTCCACGAGCGACGATCCGCGATCCACGAGGCTCTATGCGGTGAGTCGTCTGCCATCTCTCCTGCCGGAGGGTAGTGGTGGTGGTGGTGGTGGTGGGTGGCTGGGAGGTGTGAGTGAGCGGGAGTGTGGAGGAAGAGGTGATGCATGGGTGCGTGCATGTATGCCTGCATGTGTGAGTGCGTGCTGCGTGCGTGCTTGCGTGTGTGTGAGCATTCCTGCGTGCGTGCCTGCGTACGTGCGTGCGTGCCTCCATGCGTCCATGCGTACATGCGTGTATCACAGGCTAGTGAGTACTGGCGTGCGTACTGGTAATCGGTAATCGGTCACGATGTTGTGTGCGCAGACTCGGTTGACACGAGAACGACGATGGATCACCTCAGAGAGCTGGTGAGTGCCGGTAACGTGTACATCCGTGGCAGGAGGGAGGGCAAGCAGCCGCCCAACAGGGCACTGCTCAAGGGCATTGCCGTCTACATCACGCACATGCTGAAGGTATCGTGCAGCACTTTTGGTTTATTGTACAGAGTTGTAGCAAAACAATTACAATAAGAAACAATTATATTTATAACATTCATATCATGGTTCATCTAGGTTTAGAACTGGTGATGTGCAGAACGGTGTATCTTGTTTTGATATTCAAGTATTGTAGCATGAATATGTCGCATATTTTATCATAAATATGTAAGTAATAAATGGGGAGTTTCTGTCTGCAGATATTTGGTGCTATAGAGTCAGAGGATCCTATCGGATTTCCATTAACAACGGAAGGTTCCCAAAATGTGAGTCTATGCACTTCCATCCCGATCTCCTTGTAGTTTAATACAGGAAATTCATGCATCTGGTTAAACACGTACAAGTATCATATATTTTCTGTGCGGAAAATCTTGGCTTCTTGGCTTTATAGGTCATCGCTCTAAAATGTAAGTTGCTTTCCTTTAGCTGGAGGAAACCGTTATGCCTTATTTGACTGCCTTTGCTGACTTTAGAGAAGGCGTCAGGAAGGTCGCACGTGAGCAAAAAGGTAGGGCAGTGATAATGAGGAGTGAATTTCACTCCTGATAATATACTATTTAAAATAAACATCTTCCTGTAACTGTGATGTATATGTAGTTCTGGATCGTTGGAGTAAACCCGTCTGAAATGGAAACCTGTGTAGCAGCGAAGGCCAAGGACCAGATTGGGTAGAGCTGATAAACTGTGTCTGAAAATCCAATTGTCATTACGACATTTTCAAAGGAAGTACTACCACATATTTACCGTGCGTAATATCGTGTGGTTTTCCAGTGGTGGCCATTTTGGAGCAGTGTGACTCTGTGAGGGATGAGGTCCTGCCCAACCTGGGAGTGAGGCTAGAGGACGTTGAAGGTCAGGTGGCCACATTGAAGCTTGTTGACAAGGAGACTCTTCTGCGTGAGAAGGAGACAAAACGACAGGTAGAGGGCGTTAGCTGTACGTGGGAGGTTATCTGTTGAAACCCGATGTGCCCTTCCAATGTGAGAATCTGTATTTTTGCTGCACAGACAGCGTGGACAAGGTCAGTTAATTGTCCCTGTTAAAGGAGGATGTGTGCTGCAGTTGGTACTATTGTGTGTGTGTGTGTCACGAAAGTTTGTTTAGCATTAATTGGCCACGGTATTGATGCAGGAGGAAGAGAAGAAGAGACTAGAGAAGGAGCGTCGGAAGCAGGAGCAGCTGGATGCACAGGCCGCGCGTGAAGCGCAGAAGCGGATGCCCCCTTGGGATCTCTTCCGCAGTGAGAAGGACAAATACTCTGCTTTTGACGACAAGGTATAATGCATGACGACCTCGACCCGACCCAAACTATAGCTAGAAGATTCAGTGAACATCAGTGAATTTTTCATTATAACAATCAATTAGAAAAAATTCATTTATATTTTTTTCGTGTTTTAGTGAGGCATATTAAATGAATGTAGATGTGGGGACAAATTTTTGAGGCATGCACAGCATTTGGGTTTATCTGACATGAATATTTTCCTTATAATATTATTAATTCCCATTAGGTGAGTCTTGGGAATATAGTTTGGTTGTTTTTTTGTTCACGTAGCTAGAGTGTATTTTCGGGAGTAAAATGCATAGTATATGCATACAGGATTGCTTACTCTGTAAAATATGTCCAACTTACGTATGTATGTGCCTATACGTGTCCGGTATAGTACGTGTTATCATTTGTCTCGAATTTTGGCGCTTCCTATGCAAGCTAGTGGAATTTGCAATAGTTGAGGAGGTATAGTAACTTTACAGTATCTAGCTTAAATGTCAAAATTAACAATATGTTCAGCTTGTCCATCTATTGATTTGCAGGGAATGCCAACCCATGATGTCACGGGGAAGGAGCTGCCTAAATCTGCCACAAAGAAACTAGCAAAGTTATACCAACAACAGGAGAAGAAGTACAACGATTACTTGAAGAGTGTCGATAGTAATCAAAAGGAGAACGCATCTACATAATGTTTAGCAAAATATCTGGGATACATAATAAACATAATAGAACTGAAATTGTCTATTATGTGTATGTATTTTAATAATATGGAATTTTCGGTATTATATTATGCTTGCATGTGTGCTATTATGTTTATTAACCAGCAAAGCAAGTTAGCGAAGTAACCGTTAGGATGATTGTGAGGAAATCAATGTTCTCTTGATGAATAAATTTGTCATTTAATTTTACAAATCAACATACAATTTGATGCCAAGTCGGTATATGTGTGTGGTATAGCTTTGGAATAGGGAATATTTATGGGAAGGGACCACAAAACTGAAGGCAAGTGTGTATTAGAAATTTGTTTTATGGTAAGATGGGGAAATTTATTGGAGAAACTTCAATGCTTTTTATACAAATGTGTATGCACAGAAGATGCAGTATTTGTTTAAATTTGGTTGAATATGTGGAAGGCAATAAGGATCTGGGTAAAGGTGAAAGGTTTCATTCTTGGGAAATGTGCCTAATTTAAAAATTTGTCTAACATTATGTGGATAGTATGCATAGTATGTGTATACAGGACCGATTACTCTGTGAGTATGAATGTGCCACTTCGTGTCCGTTGTGTGGGTTATCATTTGTCTCAAGTTCTGCTGGCTCTTCCAATGTAACTTACGCACGAAGGGTCGTTGTTGTATAATGGCGTATAATATGTAACCGAGGTAACCATTTGATATGGTTAGGGTTAGGGTTAGGGAGTAGGCGTATGCGACATACTCGCCGACACCTCGGGTACTATACTCGGGTACATATACGACAACGACCCCTTCAGCGTAACTTACATGCATGTAACTTATGCATGGTAACTTTACAGTACATGCAGTTTCTTGCTTAAATCCTAAAATTAACATTATGTTTGCAATATTATGTACTATACAAAAAGCCAGTAACAAAATCTCACTAAAACCTCGAATGTTCACTCTTTTATTAACTGTAGTAACCGGTTTATCAATCCATAAGAGATAGCTGGATTATTATAACAGTTTCAAAGATTGTGTCATTGGTGGGATTTACACACATGATTTCAGATGTGAATCGTAAGCATTTATTTGATGCGCTGGTCATTTTAAGGTCTAAAGACCATTCTATCTATAAAATTACAAAATATATCACATTTTACATGGCACTTACACTTTACATAAAACAAGTACAGAAACAAAACGATAAATATGCTATAAAACACATACTCGATAAATTCTTGGGTTAATAGATTTCTGAAAAGTAGTAGTTTTAGATTCCTCAGATAGGATACCAAATATATCAAAATCGATTTCCTAATGCACTCATTGGCACAGACACCATTCACACTTACGTTTGACTGTAAAAATATTCACGAATTTTCACACTTAATATTCATAGTTATATCTACATTAGGTGGCGCCAAGATACACCCCATTCTTAACTTCACTGCACCGCGTTATAAAGGTTGAGCTGTTTACACACAAATGACACGGGTATTTCAGGGAAGCACTTGAAATTAAAACATCAAAAGAATACCACCACACGAATGGGTCAATTTACCTATCTGTCTGAGGGAACTAATGACTCCATGTTTTAACATTGTTGCTAGATTTACAAAGCTAGACCAGTTGTTTTGTAAGCGTACAACACCAAATTGTCCACTTTGTGGAGCTTCGTTTTCAAGCATGGTTTTTTAGAAGGTCTATCACAAGATATAGCGTGTTTGTCAATCCTGGCAGACATATAGGTCAACTGAGCACACTATCGCTAGTAACAAATATCCGAATTTTACAATAAACATAATACTGGAAAATATTAACAAATATCTAAATACACATAGTCAGATCTGTTTAAAAAAGTTGATACTCACTAGCACGCCATACGTTATTGTGTGAGAGCCCCCAGATTATCCCATGTACTCTCTCTCGAGACGGGTCAAGTTGATATGATAATACACACGTAGACCGAAAACATTACATGCTGCACATTTAGAGAGTATTTTACACGTACTACTCACTCACACGTTTGTACCACACACGGTATATTTCTTCCAACTCTGCTGTTGACACAGACTCGACTCAGCAAAAACAAGGCCAACTTTAAAATATGAGTCCACCTCATGCCATTATTTAAAAAAATTAAGGCTACGTAACTATCATCAATGTACTACCCAAAACGTTATGCTTTATTAAATTATAGTGTATAATAAAATATGTGTGGACTATTGAGTGTGAACCAGACCACATACTGGATTAATTAATTCCTCTTGCATAAAATTCAGGCCACGATTATTCGACTGACTCATTTCCAATACAATCTTTCGTATTCATATTTCATTGCACATAATTTTCACAGGCCAGTGTATGAAGTCATTACACACCTAAACTTGGACAGTGTGGTTCGTCTGCACTGCCCCAACCCAGGCAACCTCTATGTGTCAGCCTCCAGCTTCTTGCTTGTGATAATGTCATTGACCTCTGCGACGACCTGCAACTGGCTGCCGAATGCCGTCCGTTCAACCTTGTGCGCAGATATGCCATTCAGCTCGAGTAGATCTCTCAGCCTGCAGGAAACCCCACCGCACAATTCATTGGTGTGCGTGTAGACAATTTGCTGACATGTGCCAGAATCGCTTGCACGATGCACTGATGTGCACATATCTCTAAACAATTTCACTAGTCAATCCCAATTTTTGATGAAGATTTGGCATAGATATACGAAAGTGCATGTTGGCCTTAAAACCGCTGGGATTAGCATGCAGTTTAGCTACCGATTGTTAGCCTAGAGTACTAGGATAACCAGTGATACGCATGGTGTTACTGGAATGTGGGATGGTGTTATCGGCAATTTGGTAATCACAGTAGTACCTCTCGATCTCCTGGGTCTGACGGGCACAAAACTCCCGGAATTTTCCTAGCTCGTCTTCGACTGCCTCTCTCTCCCGCTTCTCACGGTGCAGCCTCTTCTCTGCCTGTGCAGTCATCGATAGGATAATTCCTGCACAACAGGTTGCAAATAAATGTGAGAACAAAAACCAAAAAAGCTCCAGAGGGTCGATCGAGACCCTCTTTCTTTAGTGTCTGCAGGCCAGATTTTCCAGCATGTCAAAAAATGTCTCAAGTTGAAATAAACAAAGTACTTCAAAATAGGTATAGCCAGTAAGTACCTCTCGACAAAAATTCTGGTGGGTTACTCCTACCCCTTCTCTCCTCTGCATGCATTCACCAGACCACCTCCCAACCTATTGGACCCTGCTCCTCACACGTGCTTTCACACGTCTATTCACGACAACGAACAGGAACAGTGGAAAAAATACACGGGGGCTCGGGGCGATTTAGCCCCCGAAATGTCAAAAAGAGCCCCGGAAATGCCAAAAAGACCCCTCGTAAATTTGCATAGAGTTCAATGCAAACCAAATTTTAGAGTGCTATTTTCATGCACGCGAGCTTGAAAAGTAGCCCCCGAAACATAAATTTTAATTTTTTCCCTGAACAGGAATGAAACAGCGTGTCAGCAATCAAACCAGGTCTATTATCCCAGACCGGAGGACGGTTCCCCGCAACGCATTCACCTCACATGCCTATTAATCAAGACAACCAAAAGGAATGAAACAGTGTCAGCAATTAAACCCGACCTTATGTCCCATCGGGAAACCAAGAGAATAAGTAAGTAAGTAATCAAACCAGGTCTATTATCCCCGATCGGAGGACGGTTCCCTCGTGACTCATTTACCGTTGACGATGCGTGCGATGCGCCACAGCCGCAGGATGACGAGCAGGTTGAGGCCGTTGACGGCGCCGCCTTTGTTCGTCGTGAACGCGATGTCGAGCGAGAACGCCACGACGACGACGACGGCGTCGAACATCTCCAGCTTGTGCTTGAAGAAGGAGAGTCGCATCGCGTACAGCTTCACGACGATCTCGACCATGAACAGACTGAGTATCGCTAGCGACGCGTAGTGCAGCACCTCGCCGATCGCGCTCTCGGACGCGTCCTCGCCGGAGTCTCCTGGTTCCATCTCAAACACCTTTAGGGAATACGTAGGTATGTATAGGCATATACTGGTTAATGTAGTGGCATGCTGAATTATTGCGTTCATCGAGAAATGTTCGTTTAGCCTTCTAAGTTGATAAATCACGGTGGAAATTTCATTATCACGTTTTCTTTGCTTGCCATGACTGAATAGGAACGCTGCTGCTTAGCTGCATTCAATGTAATTCTTTTGAATGACACCAGCACCAATAGCAGAAAATAATATGTAAGCAATTGCTTTTTGAAATCTGCTATGATGTTATTTTTGATAGTCTGCAACCAGAGGCTTGTGAAAGCAGAAGTGATAAATAAGAGGTGTTACCATGGTTACTATTATCTGATATCCTGATTAATTATATTAAAACTTGATTCTGATGATGAAATATTGAAATCTGTAATGATTCTTAACACTGCCGACTACCAGTGCTTTTTAGTGTTCTCAATGGACAAATGGACTGTTGAAATGTGAAAATTCCAGTTAAAAGGTTTCCATTTTACTATTAACTAAAGCATATATAAAAGAGAGTTCAGCGTGGATAACAGAAACATGAGCTTTAATTGGAATTTTCACACTTCAACTGTCCATTTGAACAGCATTGGGCTCTCTTCTTCTTCGCTGCAGTCTTTCGTACCATTGAGAACACTCGGGAACCACGTAACTTACAACATCCATGATTTTCACAACATACTAACATGATTGTACAACTACAGCACGGGTGTTGTTCGTGGAGTCACTACTACGAAGGCTAACGCACCTTTAGATCGACAAGCAGCTCGGCGATAACTAGCAGGACGTCGATGATGACGAGCACGACAATGAAGATCTGGAATCGCTGGCCGTGGATGAGCGCGTTTACGCGATCGTGCAGCGGCATCCGCGTGCGGAAGTTGTCCTCCTCCGACTCGACCGTCGACATCGACGTCGCGTCGTCTCTCACGATGACCTTCTCCAGATCCTCGGAGACCTTCTTGAAGCCTTGCACGCCTAGTCCTGATGATAAGACGAGATAACCTCATAACGTCATAACGTTTAGTCTTCAAAAAAGAACTATATGGAAGACATACAGAAACCAACAATTCATTCAAGAAGGATGAAGACAATTACAGTATGGAATGACAGAAACGATGTAACTAGATATGTATAGAATGTATTCAACACTAATTTTTTTAGATTTCTAATCTAATGATTTCTAATGATGACAGTAATGTAGAATGTACTGTAAATCGTAAGTACTCATGAGTCATGATTCCTCTGGCTCTGTTGCTTCTAGTTAGTAGTCGGCCACACAAGCACTTGAAACGTCTCAATTGAAAAAAAAAAGAGTAAATAAACACGAAATGTATTTACTACCAAAGTCTTAATGTTTCTCTACTCTATTTCGCCTATTATTGCCGATAATTACCCGTAAATGCTGGTCAAATGCTCATCTGCAACACATAACACCACACGCCCAACCTGTGCACAAACAACATGAATAAGAGAGCAGTAGGTAAGCGTGATCGCAAAATTCGCTCGACGCTCGCTTCATTTCACACGATCACAGAACAAAAACACATTTAACGGCTTCCATCTTAGTATCTATGTGTACATAAATGTTCACTTGTTCGAATTATAACTGTGGCCTTTGTTCTTACCTACTCCCACCAGAGATATCTCGTAAAATCCTGCAGGAAATGTTCTCTCCGTGAAAATGTAAAAAGGACGAATCATCCGAAAATCCCTAACGGCGCTACTTTCGATCGATCGCTGTAGTCGTGTGTGCGTGATGTCATGCCCGCGCGCATTGTGCTTGGCTTGGCGGGCCTCGAAACGGAGCTCGGAGGCCGGCAGCAGCTCATCCCGGCATGCAATGCGCCCCATTACTCGTGTATAAACACACATCTCGTCCTCTTTACATTTTCCCGGAGAGAACATTTCCTGCAGGATTTCACGAGATATCTCTGGCGGGAGTAGGTAAGAACAAAAGCCAGCGTTATAATTCGAACAAGTGAACATTTATGTACACATACCTACCAAGATGGAAGCCGTTGGATGTTTTCGTTCTGTAATCGTGTGAAATGAAGCGAGCGTCGAGCAAATTTTGCGATCATGCTTTCCTACCTGCTCTCTTATTCATGTTGTTTGTGCACAGCGCGGGCGTGCGGTGTACTTGCGTGTTGTAGATGAGCATTTGACTGGCATTTACAGGTGATTATACCTAGGCGAAATACAGTAGAGAAACATTAAGACTTTGGTAGTAAATACATTTCGTGTTTATTTACCATTCTTTTTTTTATTGAGACGTTCCAAATGCCTCTGCGTGCGGTGTACTTGTGTGTTGCAGATGAGCATTTGACCAGCATTTACGGGTAATTATCGACAATATTTAGGCGACATAGAGTAGAGAAACATTAAGACTTTGGTAGTAAATACATTTTGTGTTGATTTACCTTTTTTTTATTCAATTATTGAGACGTTCCATTTTCCAAGTACGTGCTTGTGCACTAACTTGACTAAGTCAGTAAGTGACACAGTAGGGCCCAAGAATAGAGAACATGGGTCCCAATAAAACCAATGTGCCTAACCCTAACCCTTCTCTATCCTTGAACCCACAGGAGTACTCAGTAGTCAGTCTTAGTGTCAGTACTGTCAGTAGTCAGTATTGACAGTAGATACAATAATGTAACCCAAACCCAAGAGGATAGGGGGGATCCTCTTGGGTTTGGGTTACATTATTGACTATTGTGTGTGAGTATTGAGTATTCTGATATGTAGTCTAAGTGTATCTATATTGACAGTAACACTGACAGTGACAGGTCATAATCTAACGCCGGATGGCGACCATATTAAATTTTCGTTTAACCACAATCACACCAGCACACGAATCTTACCTTTCATTCTAATTTCTATTGTATGACTTTCTACCTTAGTACCTATTATAAAAATATATCTGAAACAGCTGATTATCCTCGAACCTCGAACACAACAAAAAGAAAACACGACGACTGCCCACAATGCCCTACGATCAAAAAACACTTGCTTCATACCCTGCATAACATTTTCCGCAGGCTTAGAAATTTTGCAGCGTTACATGCGAGTACAAACTAGGGTACATTTTAAAAACAAGAGGCCGCTTCACATGTTTAGGGTGCTTATCAACAATATCATTATCAAGTGTAACAAATAAACAATATCTATTTTCTGCAATGGAACAGAATGATGTGAAGGACGACGAAAAAAGTGCAAGCGACAAGGTTGTTGTTCCAAAGACTGCAACACAGATTCAGCGTATGAAGCTAGAGAAGTTAATGAAGAACCCGGTAACATTAATCATTAATTTAGCATGATATGATATCACTATCACTATCAGTGTTAGTACTGACATAGATACAATAATGTAACCCAAACCCAAGAGGATAGGGTTACAAAGTGTCCCTATCCTTTTCTG